TGATTTAGTCACAATATTCTACTGCATGATCATTTCCCTAGTAGTTCATTTTGTATCATATTGTAAAAAAGCATTGGTCCATCGAAGATGGAAAATTAAAAAGAAAAAGTATTCTTTCATTACAAGTAGTTTGAAAAGCATTGAGTGGAGTATGCACATACACACCTACATTATTGTGCTATCATGGAACAATTGTATTCTCACTTATGATGCCAAGTTCCTTCATAGCATATGTTTACTGGTCATTATGACAGAAGGTATGTAGGGTGATATTAGAGTAGGGTTCAAATTCTGATTCTGACACTTACCTAGTAGGTACTAGGTAACCTTGGACAAGTTCCTCACTATTCTCAGCCCCAGTTTCTAGAAGTATAAAATGGGTATACTAACAGGACTTATATAATTTCTGGGAAGATTAGATGAGATAAAGTACACAAACTTGACTTGGAATCTAGTACATGGTAAGCATTCAGTGGTTGGTGATAAGGAGGAAGAGAAGGTCCCAAAATTTGATTAATGTATAGACTGTAGTCTTTACACACTAGAGGCAGACCAGGTATACAAACAGATGCTATTAGTGGGGAGAGAGCTGGGAAAGCAATAGGTGGGTGCCAGTAGGTGGGTGCCAGAAGGAGAGAGGAAGGAAAGAAAAGGAACTCTTCCTGAGACATTCAGGGTGGGCCTCATAGAAAAGATGCCATGGGCCTGCAACGTGGCATAGCAATAAAAGACAACACTCTGCAAGGCTGACCCACACAGGAAGGTTTCAGGTTCATGTCCAGAGTTCTCCCTGAATATACTAGGCACATGCGTGCCCATGATCTAGGGCTCGCTAAAGCTGGGTATGGATCATGGCATCGGGCCCACGTTGAGGATGCTGTTTCTTTTTCTGTCTCTCTCACTCATGGAATAAATAAATAAATCTTTAACAAAGATGTACCTGAGTAGGGATGGGAATGTTACATAGGTCTTCCAGAATGACAAGAGTGAAAGGAATTCCACACAGAGGTTACAGCATGTTCAAAGATATGGAGGACAAAATAAAATGTGAGTTCTGAGACCCTTGGCAATTCAGCATGTCAATATTGTAGGAGAAGGTCAGAAAGGGTGAGTCCTTTTAGAAGAGATTGCAGTTCTTTGCTGTGATCTTCTCATTGCTTAGCACAGATCAACTCAATGAATGCCTATGGAACAAAAGAGGCTGAGTGCTGGGAGCCGTACCCCAGCCGGGGTGAGTGCACAGCAAGGCGACGCGGGTGAACAGGAATCAGACTAAGACCTCATGCCCTTTAACATGTTCTTAGCCGGCTACACCCAGAGTAAACTCTGGACTGCAGCCCTGATAGCCAGAAGTCATGCGTATTTATTATGGAATTATGGAAGGAGTTTTACAGTAGTGGGATGGGTGAGGGGATGTAAGTGAAACACTTTGCTCTAAAAGGTAAGGCATTCAAAGTATAGGAATAATAATCATAAAACATGACGTCTGTTTTGTTTAGGTATAAACAGTCATCTTTTTTAGAACGAGGAAGTCCATTTTTTGGGTGCATCTTCTTCTTTGATCTTGATTACCAGGGAGGGTCTTTGGATGAGAGGGCTCCCAGGAATCTTGATCACTTTAGTCCCAGATTGACTTGAGAATTTGAGTCTCGGGTCAGTTTTTGAGAACTTTAGCTTCAGGCTAGGGTGGTAGCAATTACAGGAGCCTAGAAATAAATCCTGTCTGGTTTAGTAAAGACAAGGTTAGTATATACTAAAGTGAAATACTTATGTTATCTCTGGGGTAGTCTACAGCTAAGAGGGTGAGTCTACATAGGAAAGGAATGTGGTCTTGTGAGTATAAATGACTGACTTGAAGGTTATTGTGTACTTGGGACCCTCTACATACTGCTAATGGCTGTGGCTTGGGAAATGGAGATCTTCCCTTGTCCTGAGAGTAAGGGTTAAGGGTGGCTTATGGTCTTTGGGGTAACAGCACCTCGTGGATGAGTCCCTGAGCCCCTCCTGGCTACTGAGATCCTTTGCCTATTAGTAATCCTGAGTAGGAGAAGTGAATGTAGCATTCTTTATTGACATTTTCCAGGAGGGTGGGATGAGTCTAATGGGAGTAACTCCTGTTCACAGCCACCGCCCTACGCAGCTGCCGCCTTAGTGGATCCACATTATTTTAGGATTATTGTAAAAGTTATAGTAAGGCTGGGGGTGCCTTTATGGGGTACCAGGGTATGGCAATAAGGCCCATGGCAGAGAAACTGAGTGCAGGCCAGTACAGTAACACAATGGAAGTGAGGTCCAGAACTCGTAAAACTGTTGACCTTGAAAACAGTTCTCCTCAGCCAAGTCCTTGCTCTAGGCACAAGGGGCAGTTCTTTCATACTCAGCTTGTGTTAACTGCATGGTCCCAGCAGCTGAGTTCACATGTGCCCTGCTGGGGGTTTGGGCTTTGTCTTGAAGTCAATGAGAACCATTAAAGGGTGAAGAGGGGAGTAAATGAGTGACCACTGTGCCGACTGGAAGGGTGGATCAGAGGTGGGAGGGAGGCAGATGAGGGAGACCAATCACAACAACTCTTTGAGATGCAGTTGTCACTCATTTTAGCTCTGATTTACAGATGAGAAGAAAAAGTTTAGAAACTCCAATGTCCCACTCAAGGACCCGTAGACTTGTTAGGTCTGATTGATCCCCAAATCCTATGTCCATCCTAGTTTAGCCCACACAAGTCATTGATTATTTTATCTGTTCCTCCTGACGTTCCTGTTTGCATCAAGTACATTTATAGCATTCTGCAAGGCTGAACCATTACCCAAATCACAGAGAGGAAGACTGCTAGAAAGGAGAGCAGCTGCAGATGCATTTTCAGTCACTAGACTATGTGTGTATGAGCTCGTACGTCTATGTTGCTTCATGTTTGAGGATTAGCTCTAGCCCCAAATCATCCTGGAAAGGGGAATGGCCCCTGAGTGCACACATGGCAACATGTGCAAAGAGAAGACTTACGAACTCAAAGATGTCTAAAAACAGATGTGTCTGAGTGAGTTTGTCTATTAAGATAGTAATTCCAGTGTTCCCAGAAGAAACTATGAAGAAGGTGAGGAGACAGATGAGAGTACACTCTTGCAAGGAGGAAGTCAAGCAGATGATGACAAGGGTAACTGCCAGTCCCTGGAGGCAGCAGAGAAGTGCTGAGAGCTGGGACCAATCTAGACCCTGGATTTCTAAGTTCAGCTCTGGTCCTGATTCACTGTATAAATTTGGGGATATACCTTCACCTCTCTGGGATGCAGTGGACTTTAGAGGTGAGCTAAGGAGACAGGGTAAGACTCATGGTCAACTAAGAAGCTGTCTGATCTTAGTTGTATAACCAGTAGAGGTATTTTTAAAAAGTAGAGATCAACTGGAGTTCTGGTTATCAGAAAATACTTTCTAGAGGTGGCAGCATTTGCAGGACTGAAGGACTCAGCTAAGCAGAATAGAAAACGATGCTGTACATGAAGAGAACTGCTGAGGATAGCCATGGAGAGAGAAGAGGTGTATGCAGAAAGCAGAGGAAACCTATGCCCTACAGGAACAAAGAGTGTGTGCTGGCAAGGATCCAGGAAACAACGGGACTAGACAGGGTAGAATCAGAAGACAAGAAATATCAAAAAGACAAAAATGCAAGCAGACACATTTGCATTCAAAGAGAGGCAGCACCCTGTTGCTCAACTCCAGGACCAGCATCTGCATTGCCCTCTGAATGCTGTGTGCATACAATAGAAGGAAACAGTGAAAGGTGCCCCCCATAGCTGTACAACAGAGGGCTGATTAGTAGAGCATAAAGTCTCTGTGGCTTCTCTAAGCACCTGCTATGCCCAATACTGAGCTGGGTACCTGCTCCAGACTCTGGGTAAGCAGGTGTTCTGCTGTCTTCACAGGGAACACACCTCCCTTACCCAATTCTCTTAGGTGGCTAACTCTACCTCCTCTCCATTTTCCTCTCAGATCTGGCTTATCTTCCTACAGAAAGCCTATCTGATCCCTTGGCTGAGTGCATCATGCAATCGTTTCATATACTTTGTTTGTGCCTCTGCTAAGCACAGGCATGGGCTAAACACACAGATGGTGCCCCTCCTTAGGGGCCACTCACACTGAAAGACATCCTTATCACACTGTGTTGTAATGTATATTTACTGGTCTGTCTCTCTCACTAGACTATGAGCCTCTTGAGATCAGAGACAGTATTTTATTAAACCACACCTCTGTGGAACAGAGCTCAGGACAGCTCATTAGATATTAGCTGAAATTATTAATAGATAAAGTAGCAAATGAATAGACGAGTGAGAAATGAATGTACAATCTACCGAAGGACATAGAGGTACACAGCTAAAATTGAGTATCTTAGTTCTTTACTGTGTTGTTAATCATAAATACTTAAGACTAGGCCATTTATGAAGAATAGAGGTTTATTTGGTGCATGATTCTCCTGATTGGAAAGTTAAATAGCATGGAACTGGCATCTGGCCAGCCCCTACTGTATCATGACATGGCAGAGTAAGGTGGAAAGTCAGCAGACACATAGAGAGAGACTGGAAGGCAGCACTTTTATAACAATGACTTTTAGTGGAACCAACCCATTTCCATGAAAATGAGAATGCACTCTTCTTGAGATAGTATTAATCCATTAATGAAGGCCTAGTGGATTGTTTCTTTACTATTAAAACACCACCACTAGGACTGCTCTCGTACAGGTCTCACCACCTCCAATGACATTATATTAGGCCAAATTCTAAGACACAAACTCTTGGGAGACAGCCATTATCCAAATCACAGCACTGGGATTGACAAAAGTGGGAGGTGATAGAGGGTGGGAGCATATATACCATCATCCCTTCTCAAGAGTCCAGATTTAAACATCTATGATGTGGAAAGAAAACATTTTGATACTTTTCAAATTATTTCAAAGAGGCAAAAGAGTCCATTTCTCAATAAAATGTGATGTTCAGTCTGTGACCTTTTTGACAAAGGTCAAAAGTTCTGGCTGTAAGTAGTGGGAAAATACTGTGTTTGTGAATTCAAACCATAAAAATAACAATGCAGAGAAAAAGTGGAGCCGTAGGGCGAAGAAGTCTGAATTAGTATCAAATAGTTGTTCTACCATTTATTACTCACATATCTTGAAAAATTACTTTGTCTTTCCCAGGTTCAATTTTCTTCTCTGCAAAAGGAAGACAACAATAGAATCAAGCAAAGTAGTTTTTGATGCAAAGATGAAATTGCACATGAAAGGGCTTATTTGGTGCCTGGTTCATAGTAAGTCCTCAGACATCGGGGGCTTCATTGAGGGGCGTAAAAATTGAGGTGGAAAAGTGAGAGAAATAGAAGAGGGGATTTGTGAGAAGGAGCAGAAGGGCTATAGATTGTACAGACTGAGTAAGATTCTGAGTACCGATGTGCCTAGCACAGGCCTGGCACACAAAAGCATCTCAATACTTCTTAGTCACTTTTCCCTTCTTCCTCCTCACATAGGTTACAAGACATCACTTCTGAGACTGACCTCCCAAGAGCAAAGAAACAGATTTGTCAAAGGGTTCTTCAACCTCAGGAAGTTCCAAGCCAGAGGCAAGGGTGCCACCTACTGCACAGCAGCGGCATTTTCTTCCCTCCTCCACGGGCCATTTCTGAACAAGTCTGCCTCATCTGCAGGACTGCAGAGCTGACCGCAGGCCAAGGGCAAGCTGGGTCTATCATGGATGGAAAGATGTCATGCAAAACATCAATTCTGAAATGCTCTCCAGTGTCGCACTCTCCCTTTTTCTCCTCCCTCCCTAAAACATAAGCAAAGCTGACAAATTTTCCAGGGTCAAGATGACTCTCCATTTCCTCTCTGTGTACTAACTCACAGTCATACACTCTACAAACACTGAATTTTGGGGGTTCCTAGGGTGTTTTCTCTTCTGGGAATGCACCCCCCCACTCCCATCTCCATCTTATTTTATTTTGAGTGGTTTTCGCTATAGGGTGCGTGCTCTCGCCAGACAGACAGACAGACAGAAAGCGAGAAATCACCCCCCAGGGGGGATGGTCATGCCACAATCCCTTCTCCTCCATTCTCCTCTCGGGATCTTGGGCATGCATGCACACGTGCCCGGCGTGAGTTTTAAGCCACCAGGTCCGGGA